CCTCCCCCCCACTGAAGGGTTGCCAGACGCCATGGCAACCTCCCCCCTACAACAAACATGGTTGCTAAGGAAAAGGCCTTCAAGGATGCTTCTGCCCTCCACCCCACCCCACCATCTGAGGGGGGGGATGATGAGTTCCTATCTCCCCCTCCCACTGACAAGCCTCCCCCCACCCCAGGTGCAAAGTGGGGAGAGAAAAGGAGGGGGGATGACACATACCAGCATCCTTCCACAGTATGTCTTCCCTGGCCGTCTCCGTGGCAACCCTCTTTTTTTGGCATTATCTCAAGCATCCTCCCTGCCCTTCTGGGGGTCTCTCGTGGGGGGGTTTCAGGCGCCCCCCTCCATCCTTCTTTTCCCTTACCCTCTCGCTCCTCCTCCTCCTCCTTCCTCTTCCTCCTCCCTCTGGTTTGGGGCCCCTCCCTGCCCAGAAAACGCCCGCGTTGGCAAGGCGACGGCGGCGGGCGGCGGGGGGGGGAAATGGAGGAAGCTTAAAGGCGCAGCAGCGCTGCTTGCCTTTGCCCAGCAAGGCGGGATTGCCACCCCCTACCCCCACCCCCCGAAATGGGGAGGGGGGGCAGCCTTTCTGCAACCCGGGGGCCCGCGGGCGCCACTCGCAGGCCTCCCCACTGGGAGGGAAGCTCCCCCCCGGACCCTCTGTCGGGTCCGCCGCATTACCCATCCTCCGGGGGAGGATGAGAAGCGTGGCCCCACCCCAAGCTCGGGTTAGGGGGGAAGAGGAGGACACGGGTGAAAAGGGGTTAAAATGTAATGTAATAATTTAATGTAATTTAATGCAATAATTTAATGTAATTTAATGCAATGCAATTTAATGTACTGTAATGTCATTTAATAATTTATTTTATATTATTTATTTTACTATATTATTTTATTTTATATTTTATATTATTTTATATTTTATTTTATTCTTTTACTTAATTTAATATTTCTTATTTTTAAGGGTTTGAACTGGGGTGGGTTGGGGGGGGAGAAAATCCTTGCCAAACAGGAGGAGGAGGAGTGGGGGCACCATTTCTTCTCCCTCCCCCTCCTCCCTCAGCTAGAATTTTGCTCTTCCTGGGGGGCTTTCAAGGGAGGGTGGGAAGGGAGCCCTTTATATTTTGGGGCTGAAGGTGGGGGAGGGGTTGGACTAGATGACCTCCCAACTCTGTTCAGCTGGGAATGAGCCAGGAAGGTTTGGAAGGTTTCGGGGAGGGGAGGAGAAGCGGGGGGAGAAAAATGGAGTTTCCTCCCCGCTTCAGGTGAGCCAAAGTCCACAGGGGGGCCCCGATTTGCTTCACAACCGGGCGAGTCAAAACTTGTGACAACAGCGGAGGCGGTTCGCTTCACAACAGAGGTCGTAAAAATGGGGTGGGCCTCCCCGGAACAAACGTAGCTTCCGTTGTGGCCCGTTAACATCGAGGACAGGCTGTCGTTCCTCCTCCAAAGTTGGCTAGCCCTTCAAGATGTCCCTCTCCCAAAGGTGTGGCTTAATCGTGGCTACGTCATTCTAAGCCAAGCCCACGATTGGGAATTAAACCTGGGTTTGTCAAACAAGCCTTACTGGCCAGGCTTTTGACCTGGCTCTTGAGGGCTGACCAGTGGCTGTGGTTCAAAACCACAGCCAGGCAATGATGTGGTTTTCCTGAAGATGTTTCATGACCCAACTAGGAAACAGCATCAGGGCTAGAAGGGAGGAGGAGGAGGAAGGTGGAGAAGGAAGAAGGTGGAGGAGGAGGAGCAAGACTGTAAGGTCCTTGGTGCTGAGTTTGGCTATTTTCCTGCCGGCGTTTTATTATCAAACTAGGTAACATCATCAGTGTTAGGAGGGAGGTTTGCAAAGAGGAGGAGGAGGAAGTCTGTGGGCTCCTGGATGCCCTCCGAGCTGGGTGGTTTCCTTGCAGACGTTTCGTGACCCAACTGGGGAACGTCATCAGTGCTAGAAGGAAGTAGAGTTTGCAGAAAGGATGCTCTCTTGAATTTGGCTATTTTCTTGCAGACCTTTTACTATCAAACTAAGTAACATCATCATTGGTTGAGGGGGTTGTAAAGAGGAGGAGGAGGAAGTCTCGGGTCTTTGGTGCTCTCTGAGCTGGGTGGTTTTTCTGAAGACGTCTCATGACCCAACTATGCAACATCCTCAGTGCTAGAAGGGCAAGGATTTGCTCTTATTTCCATATACTTGTGCCTGGGTCCTCTCAGTGTGGTTTGGGAATGGTGGCTCTCCCGACTCTCACACCGTGATAGGAACCTGTGAGCATCTCCTTCGCTTCCTTTTTGTTGGCTCTTTTTTAATATACAAATCCTTACAGTGCTACTGACGACGTTCCCTACATGGGTCATGAGACGTTGGCAAGAAAACCAACCCAGGCTGGAGACTATCCAAGAGCCCCCACAGTTCCACCCAGAGCTAGAGAGATGTTTTCTTTTAAAATCCAGAGCGTTTGTGCTCAGATGTTGCAAAGGAAACTAAAACACACCATATTGTAATATCTGGATTTAGTACAGTGTAAAACAGACAAAAGGTCATAGAATGTTTCACTGTTATACCAGCTTTGGAAGATATATTTGAATGCTTTTCCAGTTGTTCTTTTTTGGGGAGGGGGGTATTTTGTTTTGAAAGTGCTCTAAAAGGTTGAAAATATTCCAAAATGGTGTAAAATATTTCTTCGTCTGTTCTTCCTTTATATTTCAGTATATTGGGACTTTTAAAAACATGACCCACCCGAGGCATAACACATCTCACGGACCTAGATTTCATTCTAGGAGAAAAAGGAGAAGAGGGGGAGGAAGGAGAGGGAGAAGGATGAAGGAGAGAGAAGAAGAGGAGGAGGAAAAGGAGGGAGAAGAGGAGGAGGAGGAGGGAGAGGAAGGAGGAGGAAAAAGGGGGAGAAGAGGGGGAGGAAGGAGGAGGAGGAAGAGGAAGGTGGAGGAGGAGGGAGAAGATGAAAAGGAAAAGGAGGGAGAAGAGAAGAGGAAGGGGGAGAAGAAGAGGAGGGGGAGGAAGGAGAAGAGGAAGAGGAAGGTGGAGGAGGAGGGAGAAGAGGAAAAAGAAAAGGAAAAAGAAGAAGCTGGAGGAGGGAGGAGGCTGAAAAGGAGGGAGGAGAAGAGGAGGAGGAAGGTGGAGAAGGAAGGTGAAGGAGGAGAAGAGGAGGAAGAAGATGGAGGAGAAAAAGAGAAGGAAGGTGGAGGAGAGAAAAGAGGAAAAGGAGGAAGGAGGAGGAGGAAAAGGAATGAGGAAGAAGGTGGAGGAGGAGAGGAAGAAGGTGGAGAAGAGGAAGGAGGAGGGGGAGGAAGGAGAAGGAAGAGGAGGAAGGTGGAGGAGGAAGGAGAAGAGGTGGAAAAGGAGGGAGAAGAAGAGGAGGAGGAAGGTGGTGGTGGTGAAGAGGAAGATGGGGGAGAAAAAAAGAGAAGGAAAGTGGAGAAGGTGGAGGAGGGAGAACAGGAGGAGGAGGAGGGAGGGATGAAAGAGAAGAGGAAAAGGAGGGAGAAAGGAGGAGGAAGGTGGAGAAGAAAAAGAAGAGAAGGAAGGTGGTGGTGGAGGAGGAAGAAGATGGAGAAGAAAGAAGATGGAGGAGGAGGAAGAGGTGGCGAAGAGGACGAACAAGGTGGAGGAGGAGAGGAGGAGAAAGAAGATGGAGGAGGAGAGGAGGAAGAGGAAGGACAACTACCACCACCAGAGGCAGAATTCAAGTTTTTTATTGTTTACATCGAAGAAAAAGATTACAAAGTGTACTTTATATTTGCTTTATGACGCTACTAAAATGATTTGTCTACTCTTATTTTTCTCCCCGCCACCCCCCAAAAAACAGTTTTTCCATTATTCTTTAAAACCCAAAGTTGCCCTGATCATGGGTGTTTCCCCCCGAGGTTCAGGTGGGACCCCCCCCAACGACTGGGTCAGCCGTTGCTGGATCGCAATCCTCCACAAAGCATGGTGCATCTTTTGTGACCGTTGTGAGGGAATTGGGGTTGTGTCGGTCCCAACTGGAGCAACCACAAAAGGTGTAGGGAGAACAGGGGGCCATCTGACACGCTCAGTTGGAATAAATTAGGCGGGATTCTGGTCATTTGGTGCACTACGGCAGGGGTCCCCCCAGGGCCACGACACGTTACCAGGCCGCAATCCATTCGCAACCGGGCCGCGGAGGCCACAGCACCTTGACACGAGTAGTGGAAGTGCGCTTCCACAACTTGCAGGAAAAAGCTTGCCGTCCACTCACGTGGAACCATCCTCCACTCACACTTGCCACACCGGTCCACAAAGTTGGACAAGTTGGTGGGGGGAACTTGACGGTCCGCACCGTTTCAAATCACAAGGACATGCAAATGTCATTCTTTCCTTGCAGGATCTGTGGGGTTTTTGGTTTTTCCCCCGTAACTGAATGGCTGATTGGAAAGAACAAAGGGCACCGAAGCTATGAGATGCCCACGGCACGAGGCGGGCAGGATTTGGTGTGGGGAGGGGGTGATCCTCACTGCCAGGGAGACTCCAGTGCCATGGGTAACAGGAGAGGCGGGTGCTGCTCAGCAGGCTGTAGCAGGGAACTCTGTGGCAGGGCGGTCACCCAACCGGCGGCGCTGGGCAGTGGGGCGCTGGTGTGGGTGCCCTCGTGTCGCAAGAGATGGGTCTTGCGGCTGAAGCTGCGGGCGCAGTGGGTACAGATGTACGGGCGCAGGCCAGTGTGCACTGCCTGGTGGCGCACCAGGTTGGTCTTGGAACTGAAGCGGCGGGGACACTGGGTGCAGGCGTGGGGGCGCAGGCCCGTGTGCACAGCCTCGTGGCGGGCGAGGTGCGACTTGCGGCTGAAAGCACGCCCACACAGAGGGCAGGCAAAGGGGCGCTGCCCGGTGTGGGACTTGATGTGCGCCAGCAGGCTGGCCCGGGTGCTGAAGGCGCGCCCGCATTGCGCGCAGGTGTAGGAGCGCTCGGCCGAGTGCTGGTTGCGGCAGTGTCTTTGCAGGTGGCGCTTGTGGGCGAAACATCGCCCGCACTCGTTGCAGGCAAAGGGGCGCTTCCCCGTGTGGCCCCCGCACTGATGGGCAGCCAGCCCAGCCCGGTGCGCAAAGCTATGCTCGCAGTGGGGACAAGCGTAGGGCAAGAGGCCCATGTGGCCACGCAGGTGTGCTGTCAGGTGGCGCTTGTCGCTGAAACCCTGCCCGCATTCGGCACAGGAAAAGGGGTGCCCACCCTCGGCGTGGAGCCGCTGGTGGGATGCCAGGTTCTTTCGCCAGGCAAAGGCTTTCCCGCAATCCGAGCACAGGAACGACTTCTCTTCCGGGGGTTGACTGGACCCCGCATCCTCCTCCGGCTCAGTCTTGCCCACCTGTTCCAGGTATGGTGCACCTTCCACTGTCTGCACCCTGCAGAGGGCTCTACAACTTGTGGGATCCAGGAAGGCTTCCCCCAGGGGCCGGTCCTCCCTGTCTGCACCCGGGACACCATCCAGCTCTGGCTCAGCCTTAAAGAGGAAGGGGCCCTGATCGGGCTCCATGTGCCCCACACAGGAAGGGAGAAACTTCCCCAGCTCCATCCCAGGCCCGTACGGGAAACTGACTTGTGCATGGTCGCCCTGAACCCGGCAGTTTTGCCCCAGGACCGCGGAGATGTCCAGGTTCTCCCCAGATGGGGGGACATTCCCCACTAGGCCTAGCTCCAGGCCGTTTCCGTATGAGGGGGCAGCTTGTCGCAACTCCGCAGGGTCTCCAACGCGGGTGGCTTCTTCGTGCAGCCGCTGGTGGCGCAGCAGGTGCCGGCGGTGGATGAAACTGTGGGGGCAGAGTGCACAGGTGTGGGGCCGCTCGCCAGTGTGGGTCAGCTGGTGGCGCACCAGGTGGGTCTTCTTGCGGAAGCTCTTGGGGCAGCGGTCACAGGGGAAGGGGCGCTCCCCAGTGTGGACCCGCTCGTGTGAGCCCAAGTGGATCTTTTGCGAGAAGCGGCGCCCGCAGTGGGTGCAAGGAAAAGGACGCTCACCGGTGTGGACGCGGGCATGCCGCGTCAGGTGCGCCTTCTTTCCAAAGGCCTTGCCGCACTGCAGGCAGGCGAAGGGGCGCGGCTGGGGGTCCCCGAGGTTGCCGCCGAGCAGCGCCGCCGGGTGCTCGCAGCGTGGGCAGCCCAATGGCTTGTCCTCTCTCAACATCTGCCACTGGTGCAGGGCCAATCCGGAAAGTTCTCCAAGCCTGGCGGCTCCGTCCTTATAATCAGGTCCCGGGACGCGGCCCTCTGACTTGCAGGCGCTAGCCAGAGGCAGCCCTGAGAGCAGCACCTCCGTGCTCAGCCCAGACGGCCACTCTGTGTAATCCTCAGCTTCAACCTTCACCGTCCGGATGAGCCAGTCGCCTGCGGAAAACGGGGTGCAAAGTCAAGGAGGCACCAAACAGAATCCAGCCCGAGCGGATTAGAAATGGGATGGGGGGGGATCTGGGGTGAAGGCCTCCCCCCGTCAGCCCTGGAGGGATGCTAGGCCAGTCCGTAGCTGAGCCCAGCCTACCTCACAGGGTCCATAACAAAGAGGGATTACCTATAGCCCTGGCATTGAGGGTGATCGCAAATCGCCGTTCGGCGACTTGGAAAATGGCCAAGGAGGGTTGGGAAAGCAGGGGTGGGATTCAGCCAGTTCAGACAAACTGGTTGTTCTGGCAATGATTTGGCCCTGTTCACTCGCTCCTGTGCTAGTCTGTCCAACATTTCCTTTGAAACCCAGCTGATAGGTGTCACGCCTTTGTCGGAGTCTGAATCCGAGGAGGAAGACGAACGGCTGACAGGGAGCGGGAATGTGGCTCCGTTGGCTGTGAATGAAACGGGTGGGGGGTGGGGGGAGGGCAAAGTCCAGCTGGGCAGAGCAGGGAAAGAGGTAGAACAAGGGAAAGGGAGTTCAGAGGGAACACCCAGGCCCACCCCATCTTCATCCTAGGGCATGCAGGGAGGAATGGAGAAGAGAGCAAGGTGGGTTGTGTGGCTTACGGGGGGAGGAAAGGGCCCTGATTCCCTTCAGTAGCTACAGCTGGGAAGGAGAGTTTAAAAGAGATGCAAGCTGAGTGCGGCATCTGCTGGGAAACGTGAGTTTATCTTGTGTTGACTTTGCTTATCTGCATTACTGGCATCTTCCCAACCTTGTTGAATTACGGCTGTGCCTTCACGTCTGGAATTCTTGCTCCTGCCCTGCTGGACTAATTACCTCCTTTTGCCTCAATTGGACTTATACAGTTTGTGTTGCCCATGTTTTGGACTTGATTCTCTGTAGCCCAAAGGCTGTTCCTGGGAGAGTTTTTTTTCTCCAGCCCAGAAGGTAACCAGGACATTGGAGGCAAAGTTTGGAGCTAATAAAGGGACTCTTATTAAGTGACTGTGTTGCCTTTGTGCCATGCCCTGGGTCATCACAATAGGCACGGCAGAGCGAATTACCGCACCCTGTGAGTCCCTGGATTCTCAGGTGTGACGGCCACCTCACCTGGACAATTCTTGGCTGGGTCCTTCAAATCTTCTGGGCCGCCGGCTCTGTCGGTTGCATCCTCGAGCCGCTGGTCAGCCTTGATGGCCTGTTGGAAGCCGGGCGGGCCGGATCCTACCCCCACCCGGAAGCGAAATCAAGATACGAGTTGTTAAAATAAAATAAACTGCCAAGAAACAAAAAAAATACAATCAAGACATTCAACGAAATTAAACAGAATGAAATGGAAATAAAATAAAATAAAATAAGACATTAAATTGCCATCTGTCAGAAACGGTGTAGTAGGGTCTCTCCTGCTTTGGTGTGTTGGGGGGAGTTTGGACTAGATAAAGTAGATGAAGTTTTGGAGTAGATTCATCTGTTGAATTAAATGAAACCGAATCAAATGAAAACCAAATAAACTAAAACTAAAAAAAAGAAGAAGAAATGAAAATCCATGAAATTGAAACAAAGGAATAGAATAAAAATGAGGGAAAATGAAAAATGAAATTAAAAAAAATGAATTCTTTTAATCTGATCCAAGTTAAAATCATAATTCAGACAGTAAATAATTCTTGTCAATAATTAAATGACTATCCATAAATAATGATAATTAAAACAAATCAAATCAGGTAAAATAAAATAATAAAGGAAACTCAATTAAAGTAAAATAATAAAAGAAAAAAGTAAAATGAATTAAAATCAACTGTACAAAATAATAAAATAACAATGATGAAAAATAAAAAATATTTTAATGTAGGGGAAAGTGAAAATAAAATTAAAATGATAAAATAAATAAATATAATATAAATACATAGTTTACATTCATAAAATATATTTAATCAAATATTTTACATATATAATTTATAAATGTAAACATATAATTTATAAATACGTATATAATAAATATATATTTTTAAATGTATATTTATAAACAAACACATTTATGAATATATTATATGTACAGAATAACCCTTGAGTAACAAGGATATGCACATGGAAACGTTTGAGAGTAGTTATGAATAATTATTCAGCCACACACAGATACACTAAATTGAGTTAAAGTTTACTCTAAGAAATAGCACAGTCCAATAAACAGTCCAGGTCATATACGTTTTACAGTCCAAATAATATCCAATTACAAAATCTTCTTGCCGGTTGCCTTTGTCATTTACAGTAAACAAAGACATCAAAGTATAAGTACAGCAGAGAACCTTAGATAGCAACAGAATGTCAGAGAGACAGAATGTCAGAGAATGTCCGAGAGAGCAAGCCATGATCTCTAGCTCCCTCTTATGGTAATTCACAATACAATCAACCAATCGGAACATAGTACAAATCAATACAGTAACTTTGTCTTAAAGCTACAAACATTGTTGGTTTATATATTGCCAACCCAACTAATTGGTGGACAGATTCCGAAACATATATAATTAAATATAATAAAATAAATCATACATATTTAATAAATTATAAACATAATGGTCTAGGATCTCCTGCTTGAGCAGGGGGCTGGACTAGAAGACCTCCAAGGTCCTATTTTGATTCTAATAAATCAATCAGTAATATTTTTAAAAATATATTTTTTTAAAATATAATTTTTTAAAAAATATATTTAAAACCAAAACAAAACAAAGTAAAATAAAATAATTTAAATTAAACTGAATGAAATGAAACTAAAATAATAAAACAAAAAATAAAAATAAAAATAAACTAAAAAATAATAATAAAAGAAAAAAATGGCCCAAAGTCACCCAGCTGGCTTCCATGCCTAAGGCGGGACTAGAACTCCCATTCTCCTGGGGATTGGTTCAAAATCACCCAGCCGGCTTTCGTGCTTAAGGCAGAACTAGAACTCCCATTCTCCCGGTTCCTAATCACGTTCCTTAATCACCAGGCTAAACTGGTCTATCTTGACTCGCACCTGGGCCCGCACAGGAATAAAACAACTTTTGGGGTCCACAGCCTCCCCCTCCTCCTCTCTCTCTCACTCGTCTTCTGTCCATCAGCCTCCAACCCCCATCACCCCAGGATTCGATTTCGGGACTGACCTGTCTCGGGTGTTTCCACTGTCCCCTTGGCTGGCAAAAGACCCCCATCCTGTGGGGCCGTCTCCAGTTTGGTGAGTGGGGCACCTGGAAAGGAGAAAGACCCTGGTGGGCAGTGCCACAAAGGGTGACGGAGGGCGGGGGCAGTCCCCCATCCCAAAAAATTAGGAGGGGGAGAGAGCAGCTCCTGACTTACCCAGAGCGATTGCAGTACTGTAATTCTCGCGCATGGTGTCGTCCCGCACTGTCCAGCTGCACCAGTGCCCAGGAGCCAAACGGAGAAAGAGGTCCTCGTGCCACGCTGGCACCTGGAGAAACGAGGCCGAGGCAAAATTAGGATTCAGGGTGTACCCTATCCCCCTTTGGGTTAGCTCTGGCCCATTCCCCTGCCCAAGACAGCCCGTTTGTGCTCTCCGTACAACCAACCGACGTTGGGCGATACCAGAGGGCAGAGATGGAGACCCCCGATTTAGGGCAGGGTGATTGGCCATGCTCCTACCTTCATCTTCTCCTGGTGGAGTGGTCAGACTACAAAGGGAGGGAGGAAGGGAGGGAGATAGCAGGAAAAGAAAGAGTAGAAAAGAAATGAAGAAAAATGTGAAAAGGAAAAAGAAGGAAGGGAGTAAGGGAGGGAGGGAGGAAGATAGCAGGAAAAGAAAGGATGGAAAAGAAAGATGAAGAAAAATGAGAAAGGAAAAAGGGACGGAGGGAAGGGGAGGGAGGAAAAAAGGAAGGAAAGAAAGGATGAAATGGAAAGGAAAAATAAGGAAGAAAAATGAGTAAGGGAAAAAGAAGGCAGGCAGGCTGTGAGAGAAGGAAGGAAGTTGGGAAGGAAGAAGGGAGGGCGAGAAGAGGAAAAGAAAGGGAAAAGAAGGGAAAAGGGAAAAAGGAAGACAAAGAAGAAAGGAAGGAGCCAGGCCGAAAAGAAAGGATGGGAAGGAGAAAGGAGAAAAATGAGGAAGGGAAAAAGGAAGCAGGCTGTGAGAAGAAAAGGAAGCAGAGAAGGAAAGAAAGGGAAAAAGGAAGAAAAAGGCAAAAGGGAAACCAAGAAGGAAGGTTGTGAGAGAAGGAAGGAAGCTCTCTTTCCCCGGCCCTAATAGATCCCCCTCCCCACCTTGGTACCCCCCCCCCCCAAACCCCCCACTCCCCCTCCCCCCCCCCTATAGAGCCCCCTCCCCAGCCAAATCAAAGCCCGCTCTCCACTTCTTCCCCCCAACCCAATAGAGCCCCCTCCCCACTCCCAGCTCTTTTTTTTTCCATTTTCAAAGTTCTCAAAGAAAGTGTGTCAGTTTGATGAGATCACTTTCTGCTTATTTTTTTCTGGAGAGAACACCCTAAAAGACTAAAAATTAAATTTAAAAGTGAATATAAAAGTGCTTAAGCAGTGAGATTAAGCACAAATTAAACCTGAAGGTGTTTTCTTTCTTTTTATTGGAACTTTGGATTTTGTTAAAACTTTTTAACTTTTAAACTGGACTGGTCTTTCCCACTCCCAGCTCTAAGAGACCCCTCCCCACTCTGCCTCCCCAGCCCTTATAGAACCCCTTCCCTACTCCTCCACCCACCCCTAACAGAGACCTCTCCCCAGCCATATCGGAGCCTCCTCCCCACTTCTTCCCGCCACCCAATAGAGCCCCTTCCCCACTCCTCCTCCTCCCCCCCAGAGAAGGCCCGCGGGCGCCCCGAGGACACCCCCTCCCCCGCGCCTCCCGAAGCCGCCTCCCCACCCAGGGAGGGAGCCCCCCCAGGAAAGCCAGGTCTGGGATCCTGGTGGTCTCCCGTCCCGGGACCCGGGTTTGGACCGGACCATGGAGGGCGGAGCTCCTTTCTTCCCTCCCCCCCCACCTTCCTTCTTTTGGGTGGGGGAGGGTCGTCCTGGGTGGGGCCCGAGCGGGGTCTCGATTGCCCCACCTCCTCTCCCCTCCTCGGCGCTCCCCCCCATCCCGCAAGGGCGACCCCGCCGAGACTTACCCTGCAAAGGGGTCCCGAAAGGAGCCTCCGAGGGTCTCGGGGAGGGCAGGAGGAGGGCGGGGTGGCGACCCCGCCGGGCCGGGAAGAGCCCCTCAACCACCCGCCGGCTGGGGCCCGCTTCAGAAACGGCTGGGCTGGGGCGTCAAAGGCAAGGCCGCCGTACTACAGCGCCCAGAAGGCCGCGCGCGGGGGCCGGAGGGGGGCGAGGCTAGGAGAGAGGAGGAGGAAGGAGGAAAGGAAGGGGAGGAGGGAGGAGGAGGAGGGAGAAAGGGAGGCCCCGCCCCCAAATCTCTAGCCCGGCACCCCCGCCCTCTGCCCCAGCTAGAGTGCCATCGCCCCCCACCCTCAAAAGGGAGAGCAAAGGAGTCCCCTCCCCTTCTTCCCTCCCTCCCTCCCTCCCTCTTTCTTTCTTCCCTTTCTTTCTTTCTTTCTTTCTTTCTTTCTTTCTTTCTTTCTTTCTTTCTTTCTTTCTTTCTTTCTTTCTTTCTTTCTTTCTTTCTTCCCTCTCCTTCCTCCCTCTCTCCTCCTCCACTTCATTCCTGCCTGCCTGCCTGCCTCTCCCCCTTCCTTCCTTCCTTCCTTCCTTCCTTCCTTTCTTTCTTTCTTTCCCAAGTGTGATTGCACCCATCAGGAAGGGGTTAGAGAAGTGGGGTTTGTGTGCCCCACCCGCACCCACTGGATGTATCCATCCGTTCTCTTCTTAAACGCCTCCAGTGACAAAGCCCCCTACAACTTCCAGTGGCAAGTAATTCCCCTGGTTCATTGTCCTCAATGTCAGGAAATGCCTCCCTTCCTTCCAGATTGCTTCTCTCCTCGATTTATTCCCATCCGTCTTCTGGGGCTTTAGAAAAGGAGTGGAAACCCCACCGCACCACTGAGTCCCTTCTTTTGGGGCAGCCCCCCAAATATGGGGACACAGCCATTGTGTCCCCTCACTCACCCCACCCAATCCTTCTCTTCCAAAGGCTAAATATTTTTTTAAAAGCCCATCTACTTTATTCCTAATATAAAATCCTAGTTCTGATAATCGGGGGGGGGGGGGGGCGTGGGTGAGGAGGGGTTTTAGAGGTGGGGGGGACAGGACTCCCCCCCCAATTTTTTTTATTTATTTTGACAACAAACATTGACAAACACAAACATAAAACATCAAATGAAACCATCTTGTGTCTCTTGTGCACAATTTCAACAGTCTTTCCCTTCTGAATTTAGATTAAAATTCATATTATATAGATCAACTATGGATACTATATTATTATTATTAACTCCTTATTAGACTATAATTATAAATTCACATCTTTTTCGAGCAAATCTCAACTTCATTATCTTATCTTTACTATTATGTTACGTTATTATAATATATTTTATTTCTGTTTTCTTTTTTTTTTAAACAAATTTTATTAATTTTCAAAGACAATACACAAACAAACAAAACATAAAACATAAAAACATAAAACATCTTTTCTGAAAGCTGCTTGATCCCGGGTTACATCTCTTCGTACAGACACAAATTCAAATTCATGTTCATTTTATATACCATTCCCTATCTTATTACCATTTTCCATTTTCTATATAGCGTCTCACCTCTTTTAACTTTCTTAGTTTTGTTTTATTTTATCTCATCTCAGTTCAGATCATTATGCTTATTATTCTTTGTCTGTTCTGTTTCCAGCTATCTATTTATCTTTTCTCTTTAAACAAAATTTCTCCTGTACACTAGTAGGAGTATGACGCCTTTAACTCTTTCCCCTAAATTTATAACACTTAGTATAGTACATAAGTTCCATTGGGATTCTGTTTAGTACATTCTAAAGTTACACATTATATTTAAAAAAAAGAAAAATTTATAAGTATGTAATATAATTAAAACAACTATCCATGCCAGTTCAAATCTATCATTAATATTAATGTTCATTTAAATCTTAAACATTTTACACATTACTTTTCAATTGAATATCATACTTTTATGGGAAAACTTATACTTTCCATAGTTATTTCCCCCCCACTTCACATCGCTTATATTTTAAAACATTGTATCTTTAAAACGTTCCCATTTCCTCCTTCTTCAATTCTCTCATTTATTTCATTGCCTTCCTTTTATTCACAAAAATTTCACTAAGTTACACTGAATATTTTATCCCATTTTTTGATCACATGTTGTTTCCAATTTTCTAACATTATTTCTAAGTACAAATATAACAATACAACCTTATGTACCTTTGCAGAATCCCTTTTTCAATTAAATTTTACCCATTATCTCTAAATGAATCTTGTTTCTTTACATCTTGCTCTACACCATTGAAGCTTCTCATCCTTTCCTTCCTCCCTTGCTTCTTCTTCTCCTTGCCCTTTTAACCCCCTTGTCTCTCCACCTCCCTTTTCTTCTTCTGCATTCCCCCTTTCTGTTGTTTTCTAACATTATATCCACTTTTCACCTTATTTTTCTCTTTTTTGGTTGTTTTTTTAAATCTTAAAGTCCCCCTTTTCTTTTCCTCCTTCTCCCTTTCTTCCCCAAGTAAAGTTACTTGTTCATCAAAGATGGCTTCTTCTTTATCCCAATCATCTTGTTGTGCAGTCAGTTTCTCATAGGTGCAAATCACCATTTCTAAAAATTGAAAAAGAGTGCCAAGAGAGTCTTTCCCTTCTTGTTCTTCTTCTTTGAATTTTTTGTATTCAATTTTCAATTCATCCACAAGTGATGCCATTGTAGAAAGATATTTTTTTTCCAAAACAACCACCCAAGTGTTTTTAGTCAAAGTTAATTTCCAAAAGTCCCAAAGTCACCAAACAGTCCAAATAAGCTGTTTCTTTTAGCACTTTCTTCTTTCTTCACTTTCTCTTTCTGGGGTTACTGTTTAGTTGCAAAGTTCCAGTTAAAATGTATCTTTTAGAAGTCTTCTTAGTATTTAATGATTCTTTAAAATTCTAGGCAATCTCCTCCTTATTTCCAAATCCTGCTCCAATTCTTTTCCTCTCCCTTCCCACTTACAGCAAATTTTTTTTTTAAAATGTTCAGAAATCCTTATTATTCCTTTAGCATTTAATTATCCAGTTTACCTATTGATGCCAAAGCGGGTTTTTCCAATTTCTCATGTACTGTTCGCTGTCAACGTTAGGAAGGAGAGTGAAAAAAAAGAACTTTCCCTTTTAACTTCTATTCGCCGCTTGTAAATCTCTGGGAACGATG